ACCCCGCCGTGGACACAGCCTGCGTTGTCTTCCCGCTCGCACTCGTCGACGTCTGTGGAGAGAGGAGGGCAGGAGAGCTGCGGGGCTGTGCTGGCTGAGGACAGCCAACTCGCTGCACGGGTGCTGCTGCCCCACCTCCAGTGTGTTTGCGACCTGGCTGATATTGCGCCCTGGGGTCTCTGCTGTCTCTGCTTATTCTAGCAGGTCCCCAGCTCCATTATCACCTACAGCATCCCTCCACACTCTGCAAAAACATCTCCCAGCCTCCCCAGTCTAGACCCTGGACTTCCAGCTAACCTGCTGTCTTACAGTGCTGGGAATCACACGGGACTTCCCGACAGCGGTGGGCAGAGCAGCCCATCTCCACAGCAAAGCCCTGCTGTGCCTGGAGCGCGCTTTAATGCCTCTGCTATTTGTACTCAGCCCACCCCGGCCCTGGACCCGCTCGCAGCAGAGCTGGGAATTTTTCCCCTGCTCTATTCTTGCTTTCCTGCTGCTGCTCCTCCAAGGAGCCCATTTTATTTCCACGCCCCACTCAGCTGCCTATACCTATACCTATACCTACATATCTACCTACGTCTATATCTATATCTACTTCTATACCTACATCTATATAATCTATAATTATATGTCTTTTTTTTAAGCTTCTCATGTTTTAGCTGCTAACCCAGTTCTGCAGCCTCTGGGTCAGAAATCCCGCAGTTAAAAAAGCCCAGCTTTGTACAAAACAAGCCCCAGGTGACCCTCCTGGGCCCGGGCAGTCCCAGCCTTGCAAATGCAGCTCTTGGCAGAGCAGGGGAGGGAGGGCAAGGGCTGCCACTGCTGCCGGCAGGGACAGTCACACTCCTCTCCATGCCTGTGCATTGCAATGTCAACAGGCCAGGAGTTTGGGGCAGAAAAGAGGAATAAAAGGTTTGCAACGGGCTGGGGTAAACAAGCAGCCTTTTAGCAAGGACAGGGGACATCGCTGACGAGCCAGCGCCTGCTTCGGACCTGCCGGGGCTGCCACTGGTCGGAAGGGCTGCGGCTGCGGTGGCAGTGGTGTGTCCCTACCTTTGCAGTGCTTCCCATCGCCGGTGTAGCCGGACTTGCAGATGCACTTGTAGGACTTGGGGGTGTTCTGGCAGATGGCGTCGATGTGGCAGCTGTCGGTGCCCTCCACGCACTCGTCGACATCTGCAGGGGAGAGGCAGGGGGAGCGATGGGGGGAGCCGGGGGAGCTCTCCCCGTCTCCACACTGGAGCCATCGTCTGAGGCGAGGGAACCAAGCAGCCCTCCAGCTTCTCAACCAGCCCACGAACGGCAAAGGCTCAAGGGAGCAATGCTGCTGCTCTGCTCCTTAGTGGCTTCACCGCACCCAGCCCTGACGCAGTGGTTGATGGTCTCAGGGTGGGTGCTGGAGCGGCACGTGCTCCCAACCAGCACTGCCTGTGTCCCCGCACTCGTACAAGCCACCCTGCGAGTTCCCGACCCTTTGGCATGTCTGATGATAGGAAACACCGCTCAGGCGCCCGTAGCCCAGGCTGGAGCCAGCCCAGGCAGAGGTGAAAGTCTCTGTCTCCAATTAGCCATTTCCTGAGCCGACCAGTCACCCAAATAATCGTCATCGCTTTCTATTCTTAGGCGCGGAGGAATGTGCATGAATTAGCAGGGACCGCATTAAATAAACCTGGGAGCCGGGAGCGGGAAGCAGGAGGGAGAACTGGGAAAAACATCAAGGCTTCCTTGGGGACACAGCCAAAATCCGCGTCCCACTGATCCCCCTTTGCCCCTGAACCCACTTCTCTGGGATGCAGCACTGCGGTATCTGGGACATCGCGGCCAGAACAACGCGTGCCGGTGATGGCCTCCAGCGGTGATGCCCAAAGGTTTGCCATGGCAGGAGGCCATGGGAGTGGAGAATTTAGTGTTATCTGGGAAACAGAGGAGCCCCGAACGCACGGGGTAGAGGATTACAAGCAAGAGGCTGCTCACCTGGCTGCTCTCTGCCTTCCCTCCGCAGGCATTAAGGGAGACAGGGTGCCCCGGAGCAGGCCCGTGCCCCTCTCCGGCTCTCAATGCCTGGCAGTGGTGTAAGGCAGCTGGGGGGGGACGGGGGCTGAGCATCGCCTGTGCTCCCTCGGTACGGGCAGGGCTCCAGAGCACCCCGGGCTCCCCGCTCCGACTCCACGGGCAAGTGGGGAGCACCAGCTCTGCTCCCGGGGAAATTCGCCTCCGCCGCTTCCCATGGGGACAGGGAGGGTCCCACCAGGGACGGGGGATCTGAGGGTCCCTCCAGCTTCCCTGTACCCCACAAAGAGGAGCCTTCAGGCTCTGAAA